AGTTGATTGATCTTAATATCTTATGCATTATAAATTAATATAAAATAATATAATATAATATTAATTTAAAAAATTGTTTACTATAATAATTATATATAAATAACTTAATTCATTATTGTAAAAATTATTATTATATAAAGGACTAGATCTGTTATTAATCTTATAAATTATCCTATAATTATTAGATTTATTCATCTCCAATTCCATCAGAAATAATAAAATTATCTCCAAAATATGGATATAGATCTTTAAATTCATTACATAATATTATTTTTTATTTAGTTCTTTCACTTAAGAAAGGTTTTACAATAGTCATTACAGTTTTATATAAAAAATTTGGATAAAGTATATATGCTTAATGTAATCTTTCAGCATAATTGTCTTAAACAAGAGTTATCATTCTTTTTATTATTTTAAACATAGATGAATCAAAATTCTTAGTTGTAACTCCTTCTCTATCCCAAATAACAGTTATTTTACCTGTACCTGCTTATTCAGCTCTTTCTATTCCTATATCAATCATATATAACATATATCTAATAAGAGTATCAGGATCACTTTATCCTGGAAAATGTCTTCTAGCTTTAATAACTAAACAAGGATTCCCTAATTTATCTTATCCATTCCAAAATGTTTTATTCATATCAAGTTCTTTTCTAATTTCTTCAATTTTAATATCATCTGCTTTATATTATTTTCTCCATTCTACCCATCTATTCCATTATTCCCAAGCCTCATCTAATTTCCAATCTTTTGCTATTAATAATCTAATTAAATGAGATTAATCTGTATATTTTTAAATTAAATCATCTCTCAATAATTTTTATGCTTCTATATAAACACTTTATGTTAATTAATGTAATTTAGTTTTCTAATCTATTGTTAATTATATTATATTCTAATCCATGAATATATTTATAAATATCTAAAAATTAATTGATAAAATATTTATCAAATGGAAGATAATTAAACATAAATTGCATTTGATTATGTAGCATTTATCAATTAAATACCACACAATTACCCTTATGAATGCATAGGATTTATACTTTTCCTCTTTTATATCTTTATGTATATAACAGGAAATACAACTAATAAAAAACTTGCATTAAAATTTGCATCAACAACATATGACTTCTTTAAAACTAATTTCACTTAAGTTGGTGTTACAAATAAAGAAAATGGACCACTCCTTTAATCAATTTCAAGTAATTCCTTTGGGTAATTAATTATATCTATATTTTTTAGATTTATAGCTTAAGGAAGAAATAATTTAAATTGTTTAGCTGTCACTATTGATCTAAAAAAAAGATAAGATTTATTATCTATGTTATTCTTTTCATTTATATGGCCTGAAAGAGATACAATAACTATTGATATACCTATAGCAGCTACACCATAACCAATTTGTTTTGCTTTGGTTAAAAAAAGAGATGCAAAATCATATAAAGAAGCTAATATAGATCTTAAATATCTTTGTGAGAAATTATCCATAGATAAAATAGATGATAAGTAATTCATTTATATATATATAGTTTAACACTTGTCACACTTGGTGAAGGTAAAGAACCATTAACAACTATTTTTGATTCTAAATTATGTTAAGCTTTAAAGAAATATGATAAATACATACAAAATATTCATTTTACAGATTAAAAAACACTCTTACCAAAGTATATATATAATAAATATTTTAGTCCATATAATTTAAGAGCTACATTAATTAATATTGAATCATTGGATGATTATACAGAATTCATTTAATTGATGTTATAAATTGTTGATAAAATAGCTAATTTCAAATTATCATAATCTGCTAGATAATAATATGAAGAAGAGAGAGCTAAATTTGAAGAGATTAAATCTAGAGATGAAAAATAAAAGAAAATAGAAGTATATAATTTATATATAATAAAGGAAGCATAAAAAAAGAAAACAGAGAAATTATAAAAGGAAAAATAAAAGATATTGTCTTTACCTAGAGAATAATAAATAAAATTATAAGAAAAAGAAAAGAGAGATGAAATCAAAAAGAAATATGCAAAAAGAACAATGTATATGTGAGATATTAAATTATGTATAATTATAAAATTTAAGTTGCACCACAAATTAATCATGCTTAATCAGATCATTATTATCATCCATATTCAACATTAAGTTATCAATCTTATACTAATAAACCTACATATTTATAACAGTTAGCAAATCAAAAATATTATAATGACTGTTATTATTAAGAAAAATAATATTATCCTTAAGCTGATCGTTAATTATTTTAAATATAGAAAGAATAACATTATGAATATATGACTAAACTAAATAAGAATTTAGAATTTGATTTTCAAACTTTAAAAAATAAGTAAATTATTCTTATATTTCAAAAGAATTGAAACATTATCAATTTCATACATTGAAGAAAGAGAATTATTTTAATAAATGATTAATGAAATTGCTTAATAATTACGTGATATTGAAAAATGTAAATCAAACATAGTTTCTATAAACTTTTCAAAATTATCAAATAATATAACAGTCATTGATTTATTAGAATATTTGCATTAATAGGATCTTAAATAAATTAAAAAGAGTGATATTGAGTTATTCTTTAATTCTATAAACTAATAAGTTCAATAAGATCACATATCGTAAATTATTTATTTATTCTTTTTAGAAAACTTAAATTATAAAATCTAATTGGAAAAGATTATCTTACAAAATAAGAATAAGATGAACATCTAGATTAAATATAAGCAAGAATTCTAGCCATGATAATTCAAACTTATACTCATTTAGAATTTTATAGATAAAAATTCAAAAATATGGCATTAAAATTAGATTATATTTTCAATTGGTTAGACTTTGATAGAGATGGAATTTTATCATTTGCAGATTTCAAAACCAGATATCCAAGTTAAGATATAGTCTTTAAATTCTTTACATAACAAAGTTTAGATATTTAAACCTTTGTAAAACTATTACAACCACACTCATAAGCTAAATACTTTTGAATATTAAAAAATATAAATATAATATAAATATTTATAAGTATTTTCTAATATATATATTTAATTATATTATATATTTTGTTTAATATACATCTTTTTATTATATCACTTAAATTATTAATCATTTTTTTTTTAAACTAAAATATAATATATATATATCTATATTGATTTTTTTTATTAAGATTTGTAAGATTATCTTAATATTTTTGATATTTTTATTTGAATGATGAATTATTAATATTATTATTTAAGAATAATAACATAATTTACTATAATAATAAAATGTAAGACATAGAATAAGAAAGATAAAGAAAATAAGACTTATTAATTTCATAAATAGTGGATGCTGGATATGATACTATTGCATTCTAGGTTTATTGTGAATAAATAAAGTAAAATGGTAGTTAAGATATTGATTTATGGACATTTGAAGAATTACAAAAAACTATTCAAGACTTCATCAAAAAAGAAGAGTAAATTATATAATAAAGTATTTAGTTAAAAAGAGGTTGAAAAACCATCTATTTAATAAAATACAAATACACAATTTTAGATTTAGAAAATTTAAGATGATAGCAACTTTATTACAGAAGTAGAATGTTAAAACCCAGGAAGAACAAAATTAACTGATTATATAATGGAAAATACACATAAAGTATGATATGATTTTTATTAAAAGTAAGTGGAAATAATAATGAGTGAATATATAAGTAAATCTGATGGCATCATTTCATCATATATATCATTTAAAATTGAGACTAAACCAATTGGATGGGTTGTAAATAGAAGATTTACTGATTTTCTTAAATTAAGAGATATTTTAGTAATGACGTACCCATGTCATTTAGTTCCTCCTATTCCTGGAAAGAAATTGTATATATTATATATATACAATAGGAAATAATAGACAGGTGCAGCTTATTTAGAAAAACGTATGAGAATTATGGAATTATTTTTATAGAATTGCTTATATCATCCATTATTTAAGACTCATCCTTTATTTTCTGACTTTTTAGAAATTAATGATGATGCAAAATTAAAAGAGAAATTCAATCAATATGAAAGATAGAAGGGACCATCTAAACCATAAGAATATACAATGATAAATGGTTCTTGTGTTTTAGAGATTTCTAATGAGTTATAAAATTACTCAAATTCTTTAAGTGATTATTTAAAGAATTCATAAGATATATATAAAAAGACTGGAAATAATTTTAGTAAATTATGCACAGATTTAGAAAATCTTACTAATACATTAACTGCAATAACAGAAAATTTTAATACTTTAGATAAACTTACAGATGGTTTTATTAAATAAACTAAATCTTAAGGTGCAATAGAATAAATATAATTTGTTTATTAAGAATTATCAAAGTTTGTGACAGGATGGTAATATGGAGTCAATTTTTAAATGAAGAATGTTAAAGTAATTAAAAAGTATATAATTAGGAAAACTTTTATGAATTCTTTAGATATCATAAAAAGATGTAATCATCTGCTTATGATTATTTATAGAGCAAGAATTAATTGCAATAGAAATATCAAAATTTGAAAAATAAAGTGAATGAAAAAAAGGAGTAATTATATATTAAAGGTGATCCTACAAAATGGGAATTACCTCCTGATATTCCAAAGACTCTTAAAGAATTATAATTTAATAAGGGAGAAGCTTTTAAATATATGTTACCTAATGAAACTAAGTAAGTAAGTGAAATAAGGGAAATGTATGCATTTATGAATCATTAATTGCAAGAGGAAATAAATTAAATGATAGACTTTAGGATCAAAGTTTATGCAAAGAAGTTTGTTAGGATGGGATAAATGAGAGCTTTAGAAACTGCTAAGTTTCATCACATATTAGCAAATTTCTTATAGGTTTTGGCTGAAATGTAAGGATCTACAACAGGACAGATGTATAATAGAAGAGCTAGTGTATTTATAGATAAGAGATATGATTAATTTTTTGGGATAATACCAAAATGACCAATATTTTATATGCAATATAAATAATTTAAAGGATTTCTTATTATAAATTTTGATTATTTTTTTAAATATTAAAGACTATTCAAGGAGGGAAATGAACGAAGTAGATAATAAAGAATTAGATCTTTCAGTAGGTGTGTTATCTATATATATTTAATCACTTTATATACGATTATATAATAATTATAATTCATATTTTATTTTTAGTTTAACACCACTTAAATAAGCAACACTCAGGATTAAGACTCAAGAAACAACCTCATTTCAAAGATAAAAAGGTATATATAATATAATAATAATTAGGCTGAATGTTGTGAGATTTGTGGAATTGGATTTGATAGACAAATATAATAACCTGAAATAGGTAAAGTCTAATATAAACATTTAGGTATGATGATTATAACATGTTATGGATGTTTATCAACTTGTCATTATTATTGTTATGGTATATCAACAGAAGTTGAAAAATTGTCAAATTCCAATAATTAAGGGTATTTTTAATGTGACAAATGCAAATCAAATAAATCTTAAGATTATCCATGTGTTGTTTGTAATTAAAAATAAGGTCTCAAAAAAAAATTGCATAATTCAAATGAATTTGTACATCCATTATGTGCTTAGTTCTCAAAATAAATAGAAATAATCTCATTTATAGAAATGAAATTTAACAAACTTAATAATTAAAATATTTCTTAAATTGAAAAATTAAATACAGAAAAAATAAAATAGAATTAATAAATTTGTGTATATTGTAAAGGTTCTATAGGAACTATTAAATGTAATAAATGTAATTCATTTGCTCATATCTATTGTATTATACATAAAATAACAGATTCTGGAGGATTTAGATTAGATTATTCAGAAAGTAATAAAGATAATTAATGGTAATGCTTTTTTAATTACAAATAACTACTTAATATAGTTAATATGAGTTAAACAAATAAAGATAAATAATTACTAAAAAATAATGTTTAAATTATATTTAATTAATTTATGAAAATATAAGGAATTTAAAAGTAAATCAAATTTGATACATTATTTTAATAATACTTTTAAAATGATAAAATTGAAGAAGAAAAAGAGTAATTAATTAATATCATATTATTAGATCAATTTTATCATGGATTTGTTTTAAACATAAAAATACTAAATCTTATTGTTATTGTAAATAAGAAGTAGATACAGATGATATGGTATAATGTGAAACATGTACTGAATGGTTTCATGATTAATGTGTTAGAAAATATTAAAAAGATTTTCAAGAATAAAAAAATAAAGATATATATTGTTGTCCATTTTGTATTAAATGGGCAAAAAATAAATTAAATCATATCTTAAGATATAATCCAGTATCTAATTTGAATCAATTATTTCCACCTGTTTTAAAATTGAATTTCATATCACTTATAATTATTGCAATTTATTGTGAAAGAACTTTAAATAGAATGATTTCAAAATGTAATAATTATATTAACAATTTTAGATAATGAAACTGAATATTAAATTGTTTAATTTATTCTATCCAATCTACCATTTCCAAATTCTTTATAAACTTAACTTAATTAAATTGAAGAAAAATAAAAATCCTCTGATATCATCAACTTTATTTTTTCTTAAAATATTGTTTATAGAGATGAAAATTAATGGATTATCAAATCTTAATTAGATTAAAATAATAATACTGTACCTGAAAATATTCAACATAATAATAATTTAAAAAATAAATTATTATAAGTTATTACCTTATTTAAAGATTTTGATGAATGTAAATATTATTAAGAATTATTATCAAAATTGAATCATTTACAAAATGCTTTTGAAATTATTATAATGAAATAAAAAATTACTAAAAATACTATATTAATGGAATATTAATCAAATGCATTTTAAGAATTTATTTATTTATAATAATAAATACCTACCTATAAAAAAATAAAAAAAGAGTTTATATCAACATTATAATAATCTCAAGATAAATTTTATGATTTTGAAACTAAATTTAATGGAATTATTGATTCTTCTGAAGAAGATAATGATGATGAGGAACTTGAAGATTATTAAAAATTATAAAAATATTTTTAATTGGATATAGTTCCAATACAAAATTATTAAGAATTCTTTAATCTTTTATCTCAATCTAGAATTAAATTAAATTAATTCAAAATTAATATAGAATATGTTAATAAGATTTTAAAATAAATTTAAAATTTATCTATTAAAGTATCCTGGATTTCATATATTGAATAAGAAGTTAATTAAGGATTACAAATTATTGGATAATTAGAGGATTCTAAATTAAATAATTAAAATAATGCAATTTAAATTCTAATCAATAAAATGGAATAAACATTCTGTTATTATAAAGATTTCCCTAAACATTATGCTTTTCTATCTAAAATTAAATTATATGAATTATATATTTAAGATCTTGATTATTATTAAGATAAAGATGATGAAGAAGAAGATGATGATGATAGTGAATTATAATAGATAACTAAAGAAATTTAGATTAAAATCTCTGTACCACATTTACAGATGTTAAAAGATTTATAAAAAGAAACTAGAGCTCCTTAAAAAGAAATTCAACTTTTAAATAGAGTAGAATAATAAATGAATGAATATAGATAGAAATTAAGAAATATAATACTCTAAAAAGGATTAAATGAATAATTAAGAAAAAAATATTAAGCAGAATTATAAATGAATAAATTATATGATATTCCAGAAATTAAAGAACTTTAATAAAAATTAGAAATATTTTAAGAAGTTGAAAAAATAAGATTATCTAAAACATAAACATTATAATAATTAGAAATGTGTTTAGAAAAATCTAAATAATATAATTTTGATGATAAATTAATAAATTAATTTGAGTATGAAATCAATAAATATAATTAAAAAAGAAAAGAAATTTAAAAATTATTAGAAAATGAAATTTATGAAAGTGAATAATTAGATTAAGCTAAAATATATTTATAAGAAATAGCATAAAGTAAAATTGTATTTGAAGAAAAATAATAATTATAAAGTTTAAATAAATCTTGTTAATTTGTTTAATAATTATATGAATTTTATTAAAAGTATAAATCACCTGAATAAGAAATGGAAATTGAAGATGATAAAAATCCAGATTTGTAATTCAAAATTAATTAAATTTGCAATCCTTTATAAATTATATTTAAAAATGATCAAGAATCAATGATCTATGATTTAGAAGTCATTCTAAATAAATAACAAATCATATTAGATAAAAGAATCAATAATATTTTTAATTAATACTCAAATTTCTTATGGTAAAAATAGGCTAAAATATTACTATCTTAATATGAATCAAAATAAGAAATTAGTAATCAATTAGTAGATTCTGTAATATCAAAAAAGTTTAAATTATAAGATTCTTTAGAATAAAATAAATTGGATTAATTTATTGAATTGTTTAATAAATAACTTATAATTTTGAATAAGATAATAATACCATTATAAGATTACATTAATAAATAACCAAAAGAAATCTCATTATCTGAATGGATTGAAGGTTATAATTAAATAACTTTAAAAATAAAAGGAGGAATATGGGATTAAGTAAAAATTTATAATGTATGGGTAACAATCATAATCAAATTCTAAGAAATCGAAAATTCAGAATTGCATACATATGAGAGTCTAAAGTTGTTATAAGAAATTATATAAATGTCTCATATGCCAAAATATTCAGCAATTATACAAATAATAAATCAGAAAATTAATAACTTTAATAATTTAGTGGACAGATTCAAAGAATATGGATAAAGAAGATAAATATTTATAGAGAAGAAGAAATCAAAGCAAGAATCTTTGTCATCTAAATAAAAAATTTATTTTTCAATTTTAGATGCAATAGATTTAGAATAAAAACTTAAAAGAATAAATAATATGGTACATGATTTCTTTTCTAAAGAATTTTGTACTGATTTAGAATTTATTAAATAAATTTAAGAAGATTTTAATAATTGTCAAGATGACGATATCTAAATATATTCATAATTGTATTAAAGATTAACTTAATCATTTATATAGGATGATTTCTTATTAGATTAATTAAAAATAAAGATATATTAATCAAAATTAAAAGATATTATAAAAGGAAGAAAAACAGTAGAATTAAATAAGGCAAAAAAATAATATAAAAGTTTGACGAATTTAATGGAATAAACTAATAATGAATTTGAAGAGTATATATAATAATTCAATAAATTATTAACTATTGGAGAAAATGTTTAAAATATTATAAATAAAGTAAAGAATGAATAAGATTACACATTTGAAGAGTTAGAATTATGTGTATAAGATATGGAGAAGATATCAAATATTGAAATAGAAAATAAAGAAGATTTATTAATTAAATATTAAGAATGTCTATAAGTGTAAAAAGAGATAAACGAAATATAAAATTCATCGATTAAAAGTAAAGAAATTGTAATCTAGAATTTATATGAAAAAATAGAATAATTACCTTTATAAGAAGAAAAATAATTAGTATAAACATGGTTAAATTAATATGAATAATTGAGTGGAAATTATATTACTATAAAATCAATGTTATAAAAATAAAAAACATTCTAAAGTTGTAAATTATTGACAGAACTTATAAAAAAGCTTTAGAAATCTAATGAGGATTGTGTTATCATTCATCTTGAAACTGAAAATTTATTAAGAGATTATTAAGAATTTAATAAAAGATTAGAATAAATTGAAAGTAATCCATAATCAGATAATGCTTAAAAAGAATTTTAAGAATTATAATCTAATCTAAGATGGGGAGAATAATATGAAAGAGTAAGAATGGTTATTTGGATTAAATAAATAAATTAATTAAAAAGTGGATAATCTAGTAAATAGGGATTCTCTTCTTTTCGAAATCTTTTAAATTAAGGATATGAAATTCTTGATTTTGCACTATTAAATAATTAAAAATTATAAGTTGAAAAAATTAAAGGATTAATTATATACTTAGAATAATTAATGAGTAAAATAATTGAGATTATTACTAATGGGATTAATGGGAATTAAATTATTGAAGGAAAGATAGATATATAATAATTAATTTTAGAACTTTAACATATTTCTAATCATCAAAAGTAAGAAAAATTAAAAGATTTATAACCGAAGAAACCATTTGATGATATAAATCAATATTTAAATAAATTATAGATGAAATAAAAGAAAAAAATACTTCCATCAACTGCTAAAGATAAACCAGAACATAGTGTTAAGAAAGTAAAAAAATCTAATTATGATAATTATTATGAAAAATTAAGAATTGAAAAAAGAAATGAATTATTTAATGTTATGAAATAGATACCAATTTTAAAAGATAGAAAAGATTTAAATGATAAAGTTAAAGAAATTGAAAATTAATAATTTGGAGAGTATGTTAAAAATAAATCAAGTATATTTAATTAAATATTATTTAGAATATGAAGAAATTATGTAATTAATAATAGAAACATATAAAGAATTGTAAAAATTTCCAAATTATTCTAAATAATTATTTTCTTCTTAAATTAATCTAGAAACTACTGCCAAAGCTATGTAAAAATATTAAGATGGTAAATTACAAAAATGTGAAGATAAATATAAATAAGTTAGATAATAAGATTAAAATTCATTATCTTAAATTAAGAATAATATTAAATTATAATCTTAAAAGATTAAACTTAAATCTTAAACTCAACTATCAACATAAAAATAATAACCACAAATAATGAAATTGGATAAATTGAATTAATAATTAAATGATTCATGTCTATTGATACAAAAATTACAAGAATAATAATAATAATAATAATAATAATAATAATAATAATAATAATAATAATAATAATAACAATAATAAATAATATAACTCTAATAAAGTTACAAATAATAATAATCAAAACAAAAATAATAAGATTAAGTACTATCCAGTATTTCATCCAGTTAAGATTCAATTTCTCAAGGATCTTCTGAATTTAAGTTAGTTCCAAAGAATAAAAGCACTCAAGGAGAATAAGAAGAGAAAGATCTCAAAACTTATTTAAATAAAAAAGATGTATTTAACAATATTTAATAAAATTTAGATTAATCCGTATATATATGGAGATAAATTAACAAAAATAGGTTAAAATGGATCAAAATTAATTTTACCAGATGGTTCCACTTACCTTATTGATTATTTTAGTCATTAAACAGAATTAAGATAAAATAAATTTCCAAAATTAATTTAAGATTTAAAGAATTCCAATTATCTAGATTAAGAATATATTTTAAAAGAAATAGAAAGAATGGCTAAATAAAATAGAAATTAAGTATTATCAGGATAAATAGTACCAGAGAGATTGAAAAATTTAGAAGCATTAAATAAAGTAAGTGAAGACTTATTGAAAGATCATCGAATATTGGAATATAAATTGGTTGATACAATTGTATATTTGATGCATTATGAATAAATGTTGAGATCTGATCTTTTTAGCAATTTTAGGTTAGAAGAGATTATTTTGAAATAGCATCTAATCAAATCAGATGAAATTTATAAGCAATAAGACAATTATACATCAACTTTGTGTTTTATAATTACATTAAAATATTAATAATAAGGAATTTGGGTCAGTAATTTTAGTGGAATTTCTATTGAAATAATAAAGAATCTATCATAAGTACATAATTAAAATAACATAAATTAGTCATATGAATTTAGAAAATGGAAAGAAAGCAGAAAAAATTAAGAGAAAATGTAATAAAAATTAATACAAGAAAATTCAAAACTTTAATTTGAACCAGTGACATCAGATGAAGAATTTAATGAAAATAATAATTAAGTAAGAAGTTTATCTATTTTATCTAGGGGAATGCTTAAAGTTTATAATATTAGGAATCAAATCATAAAGCAATTGGTTATATTGTTAATAATGGAAACTTTAACTCTAAATGAAATTATGTATAGAATATTAAGATTATATTATATTCGTTTTTTAAATAAATGTGTGTAGGTGATATATTGGGAATGTGTCTTGGTCCAATAGTAACATGTGCCAAATATCTTTGTGGTGCACTGGGTCTTGGATTGCTTTTTACAGCAGGAGCAGTTGGCATTGATTTAGTAGTAGATTGGCCAATTGTTTTGATAATATTAGCATCCTTATTAGCATTGATCTGGTGTATTATAGTATACTGTGGAGGATTGTCAGAGAGAGATGATGAACCATAATATTTAGCAAAATAATTTGAGTTAATATGTGAAACATAAGAAATCGTTAGATAATATGAAGTATTCAATCAAAATCAGAATAGGTAAGACATAACTATGCAAGTGAATTGGCTGATGGATGCATATAAATATCAAATGTAGTGATTGGAATGTTCTATAATTAATTGATTTATGCATTGATATTGTTACTCCTATTCTTATTAGCAACTGTATTATGCTCTAAATAATATTCTAGATATGGTTTATACCTGTAGGAACTAAAGTGGGTTTCGTTATTGGATTATTATTTGGGTTAATTTCTATATCTATAATTGCTTGGACAGCATTTACATTTGCAGGTAGATCTATTTGTAGAGTCATTACAACAGCAATATAAAATAAGTGGGAATTATATGATTTTATGTATACAGTAGGATTTGGAGTAGTAATGATGTGCGTTGCGTCAATATATTTCATTTTCTTAATACTGTTTTTCTTATTCAAAAGTTTATAAGGAATTAATAATGATAACAAACCTTAAGATAAATTATAATTAATGGGTATCTGTTGTTGTGGTTATGCCATGGGAATAATAGTTTGTGCATTTATTTATAGAGAATCAACAAGTATATTAGGTCGAAGCATTTTTAATGCTATAGATGGTTTAGTAAAATGCGATAGAAATTTGAGTTTTAATAATCCTTACATTTCATCGCCAACTAAATTATTATATATATTATCTAATATTATAAGTACTTAAATTGTCAATATATTGGATACTGCTATTTGTATTGCAGTTTTAACAGTTGGAGGATTTGTAATATTTTCTAATTCAGAAGAAGTAGCAAAAGAGAATATTACATGGAAATCATTATTAGCACCTACTTTATACTTTTGTGTTAATGTTTTCTGTTCTGTTATAGTTTAGACTTTAAAAAGCATGATTTGGGATAATGAAGTTGTAAGATTCACTAAATTAAATATCAGATAATAAGTGCTAATAACTCATTTAATTACACTATTCATCTTCTTTTTTATGCCAATGGTTACAATACTTAAGTAATTTTCATTAAAAGGAGTAGAAGCACCTGAAACTTTAGCTAAAGAAGACATTACAATTAAGAAAATTACTTATTGTTGTATTCTAGGTTAGTTAAGTAATTTGATATTACTTTCTATTGGAGAATGGATGACATCACATGGATGTTAACCTGTTAGAAATTTGGTATTATTTTTTATCTTATTAAGAGGCATAATCATCATCAGATAGAATTTTAACATAATCATTCAATTATGCTACATATTTAAGTGCCATTGGATAAATACTTATTGTTTTAACTCTTGGAATTATAGCTACAGCTTCACATGCTTTAGCTGGATATGCAGGTATCTTAGCTGCAGCAGCAGGATTTTTAATTAATGTACTTATCATGGTACCATTATTTTATATTGGAACTATTTCACAAGATGGTGCTAAATTATGTGTTGCATCTCATGTTACTCAAGTTGTAGCTGAAAGATTTACTAAAATGACTTGGGCAGCTAGAAATTATATGATATACTTAAAAATTACCAATGCTGGCTCTGCCATCTTATTAGCTTTAACATTTTTAGGAGGAGCTTTATACCTCTTTAAGGTTGACAATAACCCATTAATTGATTTTAATGGAATTTTTGGTATTCTTTTTGGTATAGGATTGGCATTCTTATTAAAAGGAATGACTGTTGGATCTATAATTACTATATCTAAGATCTTTGATCTAAATATTTATGAGAGTGGAATAGCAGCAGAAATTGCAAAAAGAAATACTCTTTCTTTACATCGTTATTTTGAAAGTAAACAACTCTTAGCTATATTCTGGGTGTTCTTAATAACTATAACAGACACTTTATTAATTTTTGGATTTGGCTATTTTTTTGGAAAAAGAGGATGTCCTGGATTTTTATTAGGACATACAGTAGTTATATTATTTCTGATGTGTTATTCAATCATAAATGGAACGGCCTTAAAATAGAGTCGATATTATAATGAAGGTAAGATTTTTGCTTTATATTATAGTGGATGATAAGATTTCTAAAAGAGGAAAAATCTATTTGTCATGTGTTGAAGGAGACATGTATGGTACTTCAGTTGAAGAGAGTACATCTATTCCATTAATAGTTTACTTGTTGTACAATACAATTCTTATGACATGTGCTTATCCATTTTTTGCAGGAGAGGGGTATATTAGAATATTTATATTTAGAGACTTATTTGTGGAAAAACCTTAAGAAACCAAGTTTTTGTGATAAATATTATATACAAAATAATAAAAATAATATAATAGAGTTTTCATAATTAATTAATTCTTTTAAGTAAACTTAACATCTCTATTTATAATTTTTTAGCTAAATCACTAACTTCGATTTTATTTCTCTCAATTAATTTAGTCAATTTAGACATTTAAATAATTTGCTTTAATTATTCTACTATTTTATCATATTTGGCAATTCTTTCTTCTCTACTTAAATCTACTTTAGACATCTAATTAAAACACTTTATAGTTTAAATATCCTAATATTTATGGATTATAAAATTGTACATCTCTATAAGTAGTAAATGTTTTATAACAAAAAAGCAGACCACCTTTAATATGAGATAAGTATTTTGAATCTATTAAAATCTTGCATTTCTCTAATAATTATGGTAATTGTTCCATTGGAATTGATTTGAATTTTTAACTCTAAGCACACATTAGTAATGCATCAAATAAAATGGATGGCTCACTTAATTAATTTATTGCATTTACAGCAGATTTTATATTATTATTACTCCACCAATGCATAATGGGTTTCATATAATTGATTCTTTAATTTAATATTTAAATAACTTTACTATGATCTTTTAATATCTCATTAATTTAATCCATTTATTTAAATTTTTATTTATTTGAATCATCAATTACGAAACTAGACAAATTAACCTCATCATGACTTATTATTAAATCCAAACAACTCTATTTCATGTCTTCCTCTTAAATAACACTTTCATAATTTATTCTTTAAGCAACTTAACTTGTAGGTAAAAATTTATTTGAATTATTGTTACACAATTAAAATCCTTATTCCTCTAAAATATTTCCATATCCTTATATTTAAGTATTTTTTGGTTTCAATACGTTTACACTATGTCTTTCATAACATTGATCATTAATTTAACATCCATATACTTTTTCACTATGATTTCTATAAATGTGTTTTTCATTATTAATATTATTCATCTTAGTTCCAAATATACTTAAACCTGTTTAATTTTATGTAGTTAACCCAACAATATCTTTATTATCAAACACATTTAAATCTAATATACATTTCCATTGACTATCAATATAATCCAATAATAATCCATCTCTTTTCATATCCCATGCTTTTAAAGAGAAGTTTTAAGCTGAAAATAATTGTTGACCATTTTCACAGAATTTTATTTAATAAATACATTATTTATCTGGTATTGTTTGAGATATTAAACTTAATCTATCTACATCCCAATATCTAATACAACCATCATCTGAACATGCTGCAACAGCTTTATCAACTGGATTAAATTATACACAACATATAGGCCAATCTGACTCATTAAATGAAGCCAATTATTTTTAGGTACTCATTTCCCAAATTTTAACACATCCATCATTTGAACCTGAAGCCAATAATTTTCCATCTTAAGACACCATCATACTATTAATTTATAATTTATGAGATCGTAATGTTAATCCATTATTTTACTATCGTGAATCCCAAATCTTAATTTAACTATCCATTCCTCCTGATATCAATAAATTATTATCATTAGGAAAAATACTTAAACAACTAATGCCAGATAAATGACCTTTTATATTTTGTAAAACTAAAATCATTTAAAATTAATACTTTTTTAAGTTGATATATCCCAATAAGTTAAAATTCCTTTATTAGACCCAATCACTAATTCGTTTTCTGATTATGAAAATATTATAGATGTTATTTCATTTTAACTTAATCCAAATTATTAATTAAATGGATTCTATATACTCAATTCACTTAAACTTTTTGAATATTCAATCTTGTTTATAAAAATCTAATTTTGATCATCTACAAATGTAAATAATCTGCTATTTTATCCTGAAAACTTTGCTATTTTTATTTTTGTTTGACTTTCTATCTCTCCTATATATATTATTTAAATATTACCTAATTTCAAGTTCCTACTCATTTAATTTAAAATAATACTCTAATTATTTTATCGTTAATTATTCAATTTTTTACAATAATTATGAATTGGATTTTAGAAATCAATTTATTTTATAAATAATTCACAAAAAAAGCCTACTCATTATTATGATTGAATGAAACTTCTGCTGTTCCTTTCCTAAATATAATTAAATTATATATTTAAAAAAAAATAATATAAGAATTGATATAGCTTATATTAATATCAATTGTTATTAAAATTCTTTAGTATTTACAATAATAACAATACTTATGCATTTTATTATTAATTTATATTCTACTTTTTCCTAGCTCTAACGAATTTAGAATAAAAGTAAGTCTTAAACTAGGGCACAGCCATTATTAGATTATTAATTAAATTTTATTATTAGATAAATATCGAATGAAATTAATACTTTTAGAGTTGATTGAAAAAAATTGCGAATGCCATTAAAATGGTTGAAAAAGAACCGAAGAAATCAATTTCCTCTTTTAAAAAATGACAGGCAAAATTAAAAAAAATATGTTAATTTATTCTTTACATGAATAATTCGTTTTCATTTTAACAATGGCAAAAGACCTCCTTTCTCATGAAGCTCATGCAAATCTGAGTTGCCACCTATGAATTGATTATTTACAAAAATCATAGGGATAGTCTCATAATTTAAGTGTTTTCCTAATGCTGATCTTTCTTATTCAAATTATGCTGACACGTCAGTTCCTCTATAGTCAAATTCTATATTAAGGCTTGTTAAAAGGGCCTTTGCCTTTGAACAATAAGGACAATGTGTGGCTCCATATAAAATTACTTTTTTTTCTGATTTTAGATCAGCTGGTGTTAAAACCTACATTTTTTTAATTATGAAATTATTTAAACAATTTTTATTCGATTTATACCATTTCATGACTATTAATTTGTCATTAATAGTATGAAATATATTTTTACTGACACCTTTTTTATTTTGTGAATTGATTTAAAAAATTATTAATAAATTATAATGACTTTTATACTACAAAGATGTTTTCAAATAATTTGTATTCCAACAATAATTTTCAATTCACATTAATGATATACATATACTGTAAAAATTATTACTTCTTTAAATCTAAATTATTTGTTTATGCACAATTTGATATTAAATTATTATGAAAAATGAACTTATCATAAAAAAATAATAAATTGGAATTGATTTGAATAAAGGAGACAAAAATACTAAAGAAAAAAAAAATAAATTGATATATAAAAAAAAAGATTTATATTAAAACAATAAGAATTATAATTTACTGATGAGAAATTTTTCTTTTAAAAAAATTAAAAATTCCTAATTATTTGAAGAATTTAATTGTGATTTTATAAATTTTGATAGGCGTATTTCACTTGATTTTTTGTTTCATAATCGTTCAAAAAGAATAAATTAAGTCTTTACATTAGTTATTTTTATAAAATACATTAAATTTATCTGATTTCTTTTAAAAATTACAATAATACTAATTTAATATAAAAAAACTAAATGTTATTAACTTTTTAATCTGAATGAGAATTAAACAAGATTAACAAATTTTTGTCAATCTCTTTTCATGAGAACTTTGGTAGTTTCATCCAACGAGGAGTACATTATAAAATTTAAATATTTATGATAAGGAGGAATAATAAGAATAATATAGATTATAGAAAAGGAAAAATTTCAAAAGAGATGCAATTATTTTTACAGAATTTTCACCGAAAAAAATATATATTAACAAATATAGTCATCATCTCCACTCTTTACAAGAAAACATATATTCAAGAGGCCTCATAAAATATATATTTTTATTCTAACGTTTGTAAGTAAGGCAAGGCATCACCAATGATCAAAAATTTTTAATTGCAATTAAATTTTATCATCATCAATTATCAATTCAGGTAATCGTTCTATATTATTGTTCAATTATCGTATCAATAGTTGTGATTTTATTAATATTTTTTTATAATTTCATTAAAAATTAATATCAATATTATTTTGCTCCAACTTAAGATTTATTATTACATTCTTCTTTAATTTTTCATTAACTTAAATTTATTTCAAAGGGATATTGTACATTAAAAGATATAGTCTTAGTTTACTTTATTTCGTGCGATTAAATTTAGTTATCAACCTATCCATATCTATTTAAATATGTAATAATTAGATCTTTCTATTGTCTGTTGCTAATTCAAGAAAAAATGTTGTTTTTTTAACATAAAACAAAAATTTTATTTGTTCAAACAGTCTAGCCTTAAACTTTTTGGATGTTTATAATTTCCATTTGAAATTAAATTATTTTTTTTTAAATTTAATTCTCACTAATAATGGTAATCTTATTGTTATTTTTAACTAAATATTAATAAATGATATAAACTTATAAATTCATCAATTAGTTATATTCTCAGCTAAAGTTTTATAGAAGGAATATAAATATTAAAAATTGAGAATTATAAAAATTTCATAAAATTAATACGATTATTTATTTTCTTAATACAAACTTTAAATAATTAAAAATTATTTATTCTTAAATACATAGTTAGTTATTTTTAAGATTATTGTTAATTCATTAGTATTCTTAATAAAATATAAAGTAATTAATATTTTAAATTTATTTATTATAAAAATGTATATGCAATAAATAAATATTTAACGTTTTATCATTATTATAAATAATGGAATTATATTAATATAAATAGCGATGTGCTTCACATCTATCACAATTTCTAAGAAGCTTGATATTAAGATTTTTCTAAACATTAAACCTAAATTTATATGATAATAGAAGAAATAATATCATCTGCAATTAATTATTTTTAACCTATTTCCATAATAATTAGATCTAATTCATTTATTTTTATTGTGAAATGATTCATTAAATCAACTTTTAAACCATAAACTTGGTTCATTCTAATGGAGGTGCTAAATTATATAAAATATTATCTAGTAGGAATGCATTCATTATCTAAAAATCTCCATTTCTTGATACATTAAGAGACTAAATCACTTCTGCTATCATCACAACCAAAAGAACATTTAGCTAGATACAAGTTAAATGATTAAACTCTCAAAAATGCATTATACTGAATTTTCCATTTTTTTCATTTTAATTTTTATTTATTGAGATGGATGTGAGGTGTTTCTATATCAATACTTTTTCTAATCTCTTAAAATGAAGATCAATAAAAGATTAAACCCATAGAATAAATATTGAGAGAATAATTAGGTAGATTATCAATTTTCAAAGTAAATAATTGATTATTCCATTAACAAATATTGCCCATAGTAAGACTACTATATGAATCATAAAGTGACGAGATAAATTTGATATGAGTTTTTCTTTGTCCTTAAAAAAGATTATCAATCCCACATTCAATTGATAGAAAAGCGCATTAACTATAACCATGCTGTTGATTGTTATCAATCTCCCAAGATCATTTGAGTTTAACCTATGTATAGCAAAATTTATCCAATAATTGTTAACAGAGGTTAAATCTTAGCAAAATGAACTAACAATAAGGGCATTCTAAAATTTCATTTTTTTAATTATTGATTCCCTGTAATTCTTAATGGTTATAACTATTATACATCCTTTACAGAAGAGCCTAAAGTTCAAGTCATTAACAAAACAAAAGATGAAGAAATATGAGAATTTTCAATGTCGGTTGAGATTATCTCAAATAAAGTTAAGTGTGCCAGATAGAAAATTATTTTTATTTTTTTAATTATTAATTTAATAACAATTAATTGTTTATTTGAAATAATAATTTAAGACAAAATATTTGTGATGCAAGAAAGTCAAAATTTAGAAATAAGAAATTTAAGATATAATTTAGGTTTTTTAAATATAAAAATATGAAATTGAGAAAAAATGATTACATTTTATCGGTTTATTAAAAATAATTCTACTTAGTTGCAATATCATAATTTAAATTTTCATAATATTTATTCCATAGTATACATAATAACACAAGAATCTCAAATTAAAGAAATTAATTGATATATGACTTTATTTCAGCTAGGAATTCTCTAAACTTCTTAAAATTTCTCTTCTAAGACCTTAAATCACTTTATAAAAATATGTAATAATTTAAATTTAAAAAAATAAGCTGGCCTAAATCGTAGAAAAAAAGTATAAATATTTAGAGTATAAAAACTGTTATTTTATTTTAGTATTATAAATTAATTAATTCAAATTCAAACTTATAGTTTTAGAAGGTTTAAGAAAAGTTAATCAAATTAATAATTCAAGTAATCCTCTGAATTATGCCAAGTATTTAAATTTTATGGATAATTTTAATTTTTAATTGAAAAATGGTTAAACTAAGTCTAAATAACTTACCATCTAAATAAAGGGGTTTATAAAATATTTAATCTTGTGATCAATACAGAAAGGTATGTTAAATCAGCTGGTCATAAATTACTCTCATGTACCAGGATTCTAAGAAAAAAGTACTCTAGATTACAATTAGATTTTACTTAAAATACTTGATTAAAGCTTAAATTAAATTAGATTATTAATTCTAATCATAATTATACTAAATCATAATTTTAGAATGAGACTATGAATATAATGAAATTCTTAGGGTTGACTGAAGCACTAAAAGCAACCTTCAAAAAAATTTGCTCAATTCAATTTTCTAAAAACCCAATATAAAAAATCTTTGCTTAAGCCAGTCTGAAAGTATTTCAGATGCATTGCTGAGACAATTTTGAGGAGAGCCTTAATTGCAATTAGGAACAACAAATTATTCAAGAGATCAGCATAGAACTCTTTGATTTTCAGAGATATCTTAATGTAGGTAGATTTTAAGATAAGAAATAGTGAAATTCAAAGGAGTCAAGTTTTCTTATCTATAAAAATTAACTCTTTGTCTAGTAAAAAGACCAAAATTTTACATATTTTTTCTTTAGAAATAGATATATCATCACTTCTTTTTAAATAAATTAATCAAAGTGAAAATAAATAAGGAGCAATATGATGTTCATACTCGTATTTCTTCTACTGATTGTAAGCAAAATATTAAACTTTATTTCTAGCTTAGTATTAGATTAGTAAATGCGGAAAAAATTATATATAATTTATAATTCAACAATTAACTTATTATTTATTCATTTTACATATAGAGTTGTTGATGAAGAAAGATATTGATTAAAAATTTAATGATAATGCTAATCTAAAAGAAGTATATTTTTGTATTTTTTGCCTTAATTAATATTATTGTAAATATTTGAAGAAATATATGAATAATAATTCATTTTGAAAAAAAGAAAGAAAGTAAATTTAAATATTAGTTAAATATAGTACAAACCGAATAATTCAATAGAAAAGCATGACATTGAGCTCACTTTTTTTTTATGATTTGAAAATTTAGTTTCATATCTTCCATAAAAACTGAACATTAACAAGTTTAACAAAATTAAAATTTTAAAAAAAGGTTAAAGCGTAATCAAAATCAAATCTAGATTATTTTTAAATTAACAACATTAATATCAATTATAAATTAATTATAATAACATGAAAATATTTCAAAATTCTCAATAATTATTAAAAGAAACAAATTTGGTTCCACAATATTAATAATTTAGGACAAAAATATACTTGTCTAAATATATGGTTGAGAAAAATGATGATTTATTCACCCCAAAAGGTATAATTAATAAAATATCTTTAATACATTTTTTAACAGTTTCCTCCAAAATATAATTAAGAAAACAATATTTTAATTCTAATTGAAAAAAAAGAGAATTTTTATAAAAAAACTTAGATGGGAATATTAATTTTTAGACCGTTTAAATAATTATAAATGACAGATGAACTATACTATTTTTGATGTAATTTTAATCTTTTGACAAATTTATAATGGAAAAAATTGAAATTTAGTATTTCTCTAAATTCTATAAATATTTCAATAAATTTGATTAATTTGGCTCTTTTTTTTCATTTCAGAATCAGCTAAAGCACTTATATTGAATGACATACCTTTTAATTGTGATATTTGAGGATCACAAATATATAATGCTTAATCATAACAAACTATTGCCTATTAATATTGATTGTTTTCATGTAGTGCAAATCCTATGTTAAAGAATATTTTACCTTTATTAATAAGTGCTAAATGATTATTTGGATTAATTGATATAGCTTTATCACAACACTGAATTGCTTCTTAATAGATTCTTAAACTTGTTAAAGCGAAACCTTAATAATGATGTTTTAAAATTCATTACTCTTATTGTTCCATGCCATATCATTATTTGGATTAATTGATAAAGCTTTATCACAACACTCAGTTGCTTCTTGATATCTTTTTAAACAGTTTAATGCGTAACCTAAATGATACTAAATATAAACTATTACCCTTGTTGTTCCATGCTATATCATTTTTTGAATTAATTGATATAGTTTTATCAAAGCATTCAATCGCTTCTTCATATCGATTTAAACTGTTTAATGCAAAACCTAAATGATAATAAAAATTAATAGTGTTACCTTTCCATATATAAACATCAACATCATTACTACATAATTTTATTGAATCATCAAACTTAATCAAAGCTTGTTCAAATTCCCTAGTCTTAGTTAATTATTCCCCTATTTTACTTAATTCATTAATTTTACCTTCAATAAATAATGATTTTGCCTAAAATTGCTTATAATTATCATTATTCTCAGTAATTTCTACAATTTTAATAATTTTTGAGTTGCCAGAGTTAGCTTTAGAATTAATTTAATCATTTACAATATCCTTAATGGCATTACAAATTTTATTCAATTCGATTATTTGTTATTCTATTAATATTACTTAAATTGATACTTGTTTCATTTTCTTTTTTTTTTTAATAAAACTGTTAGATTATGTTTATTTAAGATTTTAAATTCTAATACTCTTAATTTCCAAGTTATTAGTCCATATTTTTTAATTTTGTAATCTCTTGCTCTTTTTTTTTGTAAATTTAATCAAGTGAATTCTTTATTTTATCAATTATTTCTTTTATTTATTTACATAGTTCATCTTAAGCTTGAATGAATTCTTTAATATCTTTGCTCATTGTAACAAATCGAATGCAATCATTCTAATGATCTGAATGAGTCATTATTAAACATTTATAACAATATTATTTTTCCTACTCACAATGTTCATTTAAGCAAAAACCTAATATTTCTTCATCTTGATGGTTTAGATTATTACACTTATAAGTTTCCATTTGAATTAAAATTATAATTATTAATTAATTTATTTCATTCGTCCTCAGAATTTAAATATAATTCTTTTTACAATTTAGCTTTAGAATTCCTTGTAACTTTAAATTGATATATTGTATTAAATTTAAGCATTATTTATCATAAAATTGATTGAAGAAAGAAAAATGAGAAAAATGCTTATAATTGAATACTATTTATTAGGGGATCTCTATAATTTTTTTAAAAGTAGTTGGTATTAATAAACTTAAATAGAAACCTAATAATTCTATCAATCAAAATTTATGGGAATTGTTATGAAGTTCTAATAAAAATTATTTTTTACTAATATTAAATAATCTATGATTATTTGTTGAATACATCAATATCCATTCATATGTGTAAGCTAAAGGCATTGACGAAATTTTTCTTAAGACTATAAAAATTACAAATTAGCTTTCAATTTCAGATATTTCAGCGAACTTTACAATACACTTCACAATTTCCTATTTAGTGAGACTTAATAGTTTTTCTTAGTAGATAATATAGGATATATTTTTCTANTTAATAGTGTTACCTTTCCATATATAAACATCAACATCATTACTACATAATTTTATTGAATCATCAAACTTAATCAAAGCTTGTTCAAATTCCCTAGTCTTAGTTAATTATTCCCCTATTTTACTTAATTCATTAATTTTACCTTCAATAAATAATGATTTTGCCTAAAATTGCTTATAATTATCATTATTCTCAGTAATTTCTACAATTTTAATAATTTTTGAGTTGCCAGAGTTAGCTTTAGAATTAATTTAATCATTTACAATATCCTTAATGGCATTACAAATTTTATTCAATTCGATTATTTGTTATTCTATTAATATTACTTAAATTGATACTTGTTTCATTTTCTTTTTTTTTTTAATAAAACTGTTAGATTATGTTTATTTAAGATTTTAAATTCTAATACTCTTAATTTCCAAGTTATTAGTCCATATTTTTTAATTTTGTAATCTCTTGCTCTTTTTTTTTGTAAATTTAATCAAGTGAATTCTTTATTTTATCAATTATTTCTTTTATTTATTTACATAGTTCATCTTAAGCTTGAATGAATTCTTTAATATCTTTGCTCATTGTAACAAATCGAATGCAATCATTCTAATGATCTGAATGAGTCATTATTAAACATTTATAACAATATTATTTTTCCTACTCACAATGTTCATTTAAGCAAAAACCTAATATTTCTTCATCTTGATGGTTTAGATTATTACACTTATAAGTTTCCATTTGAATTAAAATTATAATTATTAATTAATTTATTTCATTCGTCCTCAGAATTTAAATATAATTCTTTTTACAATTTAGCTTTAGAATTCCTTGTAACTTTAAATTGATATATTGTATTAAATTTAAGCATTATTTATCATAAAATTGATTGAAGAAAGAAAAATGAGAAAAATGCTTATAATTGAATACTATTTATTAGGGGATCTCTATAATTTTTTTAAAAGTAGTTGGTATTAATAAACTTAAATAGAAACCTAATAATTCTATCAATCAAAATTTATGGGAATTGTTATGAAGTTCTAATAAAAATTATTTTTTACTAATATTAAATAATCTATGATTATTTGTTGAATACATCAATATCCATTCATATGTGTAAGCTAAAGGCATTGACGAAATTTTTCTTAAGACTATAAAAATTACAAATTAGCTTTCAATTTCAGATATTTCAGCGAACTTTACAATACACTTCACAATTTCCTATTTAGTGAGACTTAATAGTTTTTCTTAGTAGATAATATAGGATATATTTTTCTACTCATATATTTTTAGGTCGAATTGATATTAAGAATGATTTATTTTTTATGATGAATATTCTCTAAAATATTAAAACAAGTAAGTAATTGAGATATAAAAACTTTTCAATCATTTATGGCTTACAAAACCAAAAATAATTTAGTAGAATCGGATAGAGACTTATGTTACTATATTATCTTACTAATAGATTACATTAAAAATTCTACTATGTTCTGCCATACTTTCTTTAATGAACACTAATAAAAAATGATGGTAAAGTAGGAAGTAATTGTGAAAATAAAGACTTAGTTTAAATTGATGAATATGAATAAGTCAATTTATTTATTTAAAAAGCTTTGTGAATTTAGAGAATATAAAATTTAAGATTAAAAAATTTTAATACATCAGAAGAATTTATACTTAAATTAATCATTATTACAAATCAAATCTTCATTTCTTATCAATTCAAATATCTGAGCAGACACTTATGAATTAGAGTATCAATCATTTTTTAAAAATATAAATAATTGATTTTAAAATTTTTTCAATTTATATTTTTAGGCCTTGCTATTAAATAAGATATACATACTTGTTTAGTTATAAAAAAATATTGTCTTTAAATTTAATTGTAATTATAATTTAATCTTTATTTTATATAAAAAGAATTCATATTAATTGTCTCAATATACTTTCTTTCTTCTTTTTATATATTTAACTGGCAATACTATCTAATTATTTTTTTTCTTAATCATTCATTTCTAGTAAGTTAAATAAAATCTGCAAATACCCTTATGCATCTTAAGACCTTAAAAATTATATAATCAATATTTACTAATTTTGTAGAGAAACAATAAAAGATATGAGTAATTATTTTATCTATAATCTAAATGATGTAATATCCATCAAGTCAATAATTTTTTGAAGTTAATGAATCTATTGTTATAAATCATTTATAATCTAATTATCTACTAAATTTTAATTGGAATTCAAAATTTATTTTTTTTAATTTTTATTTTCTTCCAAATTGTTCTCCTCTTTCTATGAACTATTGAAAAAAATATTATTTGAAAATGATTTACTTAAACATTAACAAAAGCTCTTTCATTTTATCGTCTAAATTGTAAATGAAATATGCCAATTCCTGATCTATCCATATTTAACATTTTTCCATATTTTTTAAGTAAGATTTTTTCTTATTATACCAATCATCTAAAGTATTTTCCTTAACAATTTATACCAATTCTTCTAAATTAGTATATGAGGATTCTGCTAGATTATAATTGTTATTCAAGAGATTCAAATATTCTTAATTTTAGTTTTAAATAATGTCATATATTGAAGTAATTTATTATGACAATTATTCCCAAGCTTTCTGAATAACAATTATTGTATGAGATAGGAGAGATTTAAAACTCATTATCTATTGGTTTAATTCAGAAACATCATCAAGTCTATATTCTTGAAATTTCTTTATAACTTATTCATGGAACTTATCAATAAGAACTGTTTTGTGGTAATCAAGCTCTTTTTCATGTATACATTCAACACAGAGTTTCCTTTAACATTTGTGAGAAGCAACACATATTAAAGATATTACACTTTTAGGATGATGAACACAATTCATATTTTTAATAATAATACTAAACTCTATTAAGACTTAATATAATGAATTTGAAAATATATCTTTTCTATTATTGTTTGTAAAATTAAAAATGATTGATAATGGATTTAATCAAAAAATCATAGATTATCTTATCTTTATCACTTTAGAAAAGAATAAATTGGTATAATCAAACTAATAATAAGAAATTGATTTATAATTCAAAAATATGGATAATTGTATATTTCGAAATAATGGTATCTAAACTTCAAATTAGATTTAAATATCTTTAATTTCTAGCAAAAATTGAAGTATATAAACCTCTTTAAAAAATAACTACTCCTATATTATATTAAAAATAACAAAGTTAAAATTTTTTTTAGGTACTTTCCGAAGCATTAAAGAAATCTTTGAAAATTCCTAATATTGAAATCGTAACTAACAATTTGAAATATAAATTTATTTTAAATAAGTATTTAAATTAATCCGAATACTTAAGAGCAAAAATGAATTTTATTGGCTATATCTATTTAGAATTATACATTACATCTTATTTTCTAAGTGGTTAAATGCAAGGAATATGGTTAAAAATATTCTCCGCTCTTTAATAATGGATCATTCTCTAATTGAGAATAACCAAAATCCTCTCTTCTTATAGATCATAAAGTAAATAGAAGAGTATAGAGGAAAATTCTAAAAGAAAGAGAGTCTAATTTTATACTGAAAGCTAACAAACTAAATAGATTGTTATGCAATTTATCAAAAAGAATTTTTTTTTCAATTTGGAAACAAATTGGAGAATATAAACTATATTACCTAACATTTATGTCCTTAATTTTGAAAATTATATGATAGAAATAATCACCGATCCAGGTCTCTCCAGATTGAGCAAGGTCAAGGTGCAAGTAGATGAAACTCTTAGACATATGGATTCTACCCCAAGAAGGAGATCATTAATTCTGTCAATTTATTTTGACTATGAAAGAATGAGTTATTTGAAATCATTAAGCATTCACCTATTTGTTTCAACATTTTATTTATGATTATTGAATCTCTTCTATTTGATTTTATTAGAAATATCTTTCAAATTTGGATACTTATTTGTACAATATTCAATATACAACTTATAACAATATAAAAAAAATTTAATAACTTTTTTAAAATTAAATTTAAAAAATAAACTGAACACAAAGGAAATAATAAAATATGCCATTAAATGGCTTTCATGTTGTTATTGAGTTGATCAGACAGTAAAAAGTTCATAATTATTATTATATTTATGAGATGATTAAAAATTAATGAAATTGAAAAGGTATTTGAATTTTTCTTAAGAGTGGCCGCTAAAATTTTGTCTCCTAATAGATTAAAAATTTTTATTAAATTATCGTGTATGCTTGAAATAGTTGTAATAATAATTGAATTAGAATTTATTTAAATTATAATCTTCATTTTGTTTATAATTGCTAAATGGCATCAATAGGGAAGATAAAAAGGTTTTAGTAATTTTTAGTTGTATTTTTATTTTTAAGGAATAAATGATCCTAATTTTAATCATCAAAGTAATTTCGTATTTACTTTTCTTAAAATCATAAGTTGTATTAATTCAAAAAGGTCTTAATTGCATCAAGAATAATTAAATTATTATATTTTGTATTATATCAAATATGATAAAATTAAAATATGTTTATTTAATCAAAAAATTGTACTTAATTAAATAAATAAGAAAAATGAATGATTCATAAAGAATAAAAATCATTCTTAATCATTTCCAAAACATTTTGATTTATTAAATAAAAAGTATACAAAGATGAAATAAAGAATTCAAATGTTTAAATATATTTTTATTTATAAAAGAGCTTGTTTAAACTAGTGAATAAGTTCGGTTAAATAATTAAATAAGCTTTGAGATATCATTATTGAATAATATATTTGGTAGAGTTCATAACAATATTAGTTATTTTATTTTTAGATTAATATATTAAATACCATTATGTTGAAACTCTAACATTCTTTTTAAAGACATATATTTACAATTGTTGATTAAAAAATTGATTAATAAAAAATTTTTTTAATGAAAAAAATTAAATTGTGTCAATTCTGCCTCTGGAAAAAGAAGTAATAGTAGAGAATCTAGTGCCTCTAGAGGTCAATAATCTAACTATGAAGGTTCACTAGTTCCCCTNTAGATGAAACTCTTAGACATATGGATTCTACCCCAAGAAGGAGATCATTAATTCTGTCAATTTATTTTGACTATGAAAGAATGAGTTATTTGAAATCATTAAGCATTCACCTATTTGTTTCAACATTTTATTTATGATTATTGAATCTCTTCTATTTGATTTTATTAGAAATATCTTTCAAATTTGGATACTTATTTGTACAATATTCAATATACAACTTATAACAATATAAAAAAAATTTAATAACTTTTTTAAAATTAAATTTAAAAAATAAACTGAACACAAAGGAAATAATAAAATATGCCATTAAATGGCTTTCATGTTGTTATTGAGTTGATCAGACAGTAAAAAGTTCATAATTATTATTATATTTATGAGATGATTAAAAATTAATGAAATTGAAAAGGTATTTGAATTTTTCTTAAGAGTGGCCGCTAAAATTTTGTCTCCTAATAGATTAAAAATTTTTATTAAATTATCGTGTATGCTTGAAATAGTTGTAATAATAATTGAATTAGAATTTATTTAAATTATAATCTTCATTTTGTTTATAATTGCTAAATGGCATCAATAGGGAAGATAAAAAGGTTTTAGTAATTTTTAGTTGTATTTTTATTTTTAAGGAATAAATGATCCTAATTTTAATCATCAAAGTAATTTCGTATTTACTTTTCTTAAAATCATAAGTTGTATTAATTCAAAAAGGTCTTAATTGCATCAAGAATAATTAAATTATTATATTTTGTATTATATCAAATATGATAAAATTAAAATATGTTTATTTAATCAAAAAATTGTACTTAATTAAATAAATAAGAAAAATGAATGATTCATAAAGAATAAAAATCATTCTTAATCATTTCCAAAACATTTTGATTTATTAAATAAAAAGTATACAAAGATGAAATAAAGAATTCAAATGTTTAAATATATTTTTATTTATAAAAGAGCTTGTTTAAACTAGTGAATAAGTTCGGTTAAATAATTAAATAAGCTTTGAGATATCATTATTGAATAATATATTTGGTAGAGTTCATAACAATATTAGTTATTTTATTTTTAGATTAATATTTATAGATATAATTATCAATTAGTTAAGTTTATACTTTGTATTAAATTTTTACTATCAATATAATCTGTATTAATTTAAAATATCCTTTTAAATAAAAAAGTTGCTTTTTAAACCATAATTTATATTTTACTTTAATTCTAAAATTATACTATTACTTAATCAAACTCTCAAAATGGTTTTGAATTTAGTAGGCTTACAAAAAGATAAAAATTGATTATTAATATTTTACTAATTGATGAATATTTAATAATAGAAAACTTTATACTCCTATAGTTTATATTTTATAAAAAACAGGAAAAAATACTTAATCTTAATGATAATGCAAAATTAGCACTTTCGAATTACTAGGATTATTTATAGAGGAGCTGAATTAATTAATTTTCAAGCATTAATTAGATTCAAACTAAATTCTAAAAACTAAAAAATTAGATAGGAATAAAATATTATTTAACACTTTATATATTAATCTCAGATTTATCTAAACAATAATTAAAAAGATTCTAGATATTTAATGACAACATAAACACTACTTTAGATATAATTCTTTCAAAAAAATTGTTTTTGCTTTAGACAATATCTTTTTTTGTGATTTCAGTTATCTCTAAACTTGTTTCAAGACTTATAATTATAATATTAGCGAATGAGAAAATTCAGATAAATAATTATAAAATACGATAATATTTTACTTTGACTTTTATATTTAATATAATAATTATCTCATTTTTCTTTAAATTTCCTTATTTATAATTGATATGTTGTCTAATCCCAAGTAATCAAATATTGTCCATCATCACTCAATGATCCAAATAAATAATTTGTTCCAAATTGAATAGAGATTATTCAACTTAAAATTCAGCATTTTCTGTAAATCTTATTAAATGTACCTATTCACCATGCTTATTAACAACTAATTATTTTTATTTAATAAATTATTATGGAAATAATATATAATTATCATATCCTTTATTAATAGTAATATCTTTTGATTTAGTGAACTATTTACTTACACTATTCATTTCATAAACATACATCAAATTCCCATTTATAGGTTAAAATGTGAATAGATTATTGTTTATAAAGCATAATCGATATCCTTCACAATCAACTTTTATTTTTTGTTTTACAATCCAATTTTTATTAGGTTCTGATTACTCTATTACTAATATCAATCTATCCGCTCCACAAGATATAACTTGATTTTGTTATTCATTTAAACTTAATTGATAGACCCAATCACTATGATCTGTAATAGTTTATTAACAAATCCATTCATTCTTTTTAACCCAAAACTTAATAGTCGTATCATTACTACTGGATATAAAAAGATCTTTATTATTATTTAAAATTATGCATTTAATACAATTACTATAGTTTATAAACAAATCCATGAATTATTATTATTATATTCCCAAATCAAAATAGATCCTTAATCTCCAGAAATCAATTAATTTTATTATTTCATAAAATTTAAAGTGAACACATGACTTTTATGTTCATTTAAAATTTGGTTTAATTTCAACATTCCTTATTGGAATTCATAAATTTTAATTAGGTTATTACAACCAGCTGCTACAATTGAACAATCTTTATTAATAGCAAGTGCCAAACAATATTCTTATTATTTAATAGAATTAGTTTCAATTATTTAATAAGTAAATGGTTTAAGATTGACTTATGATGGACATTTCATTTCGTTTTTTTATTAGATTAATAATTCTGATTATTATGAACAATTATTAATTTTTGTTCTTGTTATGATTAAATTTAAACTTGATCTTTGATTTTATTTTTGATTAATGATTTTACTTCTTCAACAATATTTGATATATATTCTGATTAATCGATTAAATGGAACTAATCAACTTTTGGTAATTTTATATCTGATTTTGTATTATTCATCTTAGAAATTGGAGAATCTATAATGAATACCTAATCTATGAAATTTATGATCTTATAAAATGATGACTAAAATATTCTAATAATAAGCTTATACATCTAAATGCATTTCTATTTCTTACAATTACTATTCTAATTTCTACTTACTACTTAATCATTTGACATTCTTTCTAATTTGATTAAATTTTATTAAAATTAATATTTTTTATATTAAATTTAAACAATTTAAATGAAAATAATATTTTTTTAAATAAATATATTCTATATATTAAAAAATCAAGTAATGTAGATATTGAAATGAATCCTCGATAGCATAATTTACATCTATTACAATCAATTCCAAATCTACACAAAGTCCTAACTTCTATTTTACACTAATCCACAAGATATTCGTAGCAATTTTGCAGTATATAACTTCAAGTTAGAGTAATAGAAATTCATTATTAAAAATAAAAAAGAATATGCAAGCCCATTGTTAAGAGAAGGAAGCTCTAGCTGATATCTTTGGTCATATAAAAGATGTAGATGAGCAAATGTTTGGTGTCATATTAGAAAAATTAAGAAAGGAAAAAGTTGAAGACATCATTGGATATCTTTCAGAAAACGTGAATCAAAGGCAATTAGAATTATATATCTAACAACAAGCAGAGAAAATCGCCCAAGCTAATAAAAAATAGAAATTTTCTCTTATTGGAAATGACATGAAATAAATTACAGATGTCTTAAAAAAATTAAAAGATCATGACTTCAACTACAAAGACTTTTCCTCTGAACAAAATGAAGAATCTACATTATTTCTAATTAATATCATCAAAGATAATAGAAGAATCATTGAATTTTTGTAATTTTTAGTTCACCTTACATCAATAGATTACACTTTAATATAATGTGGATCTAATTCATTACATATTTTAGTTTAAATTAAGGTGGACCTTAGTAATAAAAGTTTTGAAAATATTAAGATTTAAAATACATCTATAGTAGGAGCTAATTTTTGTAGATGTAATTTAAGTGAATCATAATTTAATAATGTCAATATAAGTGGAATAAATCTAAATGGAGCATAATTATTTCATTGTAAATGGAAGTACTTAAGAATCCAAGAATTAAATATATTACATGGTCATAGTGATTAAGTAAGATCAATTTGTTTTTCTCCTGATGGAAAAACATTAGTTTCTGGAGGTGGTGATTGCTCTATCCGTCTATGGGATGTAAAAACTGGATAGTAAAAAGCCTTAATAGATGGTCATACTAGCACTGTCAATTCAGTCAGTTTCTCTTCAAATGGAAATATATTAGTTACTGGATATGAAAATGGCTCTGTCGTATTATGGGATGATAAAACAAGAAAGAAAAGAGCAAAATTAGATGGTCATATTGGCAATGTACTCTCGGTTTGTTTCTCTCATGATGGAAAAACATTAGCTTCTTGTAGTAGTGATAATTCTATCCGTCTATGGGATGTCAAAACAGGATAATAAAAATCCAAATTAGATGGTCATACTAGTACTGTCTGGTCAGTCTGTTTCTCTCCTGATGGAAAAACATTAGCTTCTTGTAGTAGTGATAAGTCTGTCCATCTATGGGATGTCAAAACAGGATAATAAAAAGCCAAATTGGTTGGACATAATAGTACTGTCTACTCAGTCTTTTTCTCTCCTGATGGAAAAACATTAGCTTCTTGTAGTAGTGGTAAGTCTATCCGGCAATGGGATGTCAAAACAGGATAATAAAAAGCCAAATTAGATGGTCATACTAGTACTGTCTACTCAGTCTGTTTCTCTCCTGATGGAAATACATTAGCTTCTGGTAGTAATGATAAGTCTATCCGTCTATGGGATGTCAAAACAGGATAATAAAAAGCCAAATTAGATGGTCATACTAGTACTGTCTACTCAGTCTGTTTCTCTCCTGATGGAAATACATTAGCTTCTGGTAGTAATGATAAGTCTATCCGTCTATGGGATGTCAAAACAGGATAATAAAAAGCCAAATTAGATGGTCATACTAGTACTGTCTACTCAGTCTGTTTCTCTCCTGATGGAAATACATTAGCTTCTGGTAGTAATGATAAGTCTATCCGTCTATGGGATGTCAAAACAGGATAATAAAAAGCCAAATTAGATGGTCATACTAGTACTGTCTACTCAGTCTGTTTCTCTCCTGATGGAAATACATTAGCTTCTGGTAGTAATGATAAGTCTATCCGTCTATGGGATGTCAAAACAGGATAATAAAAAGCCAAATTAGATGGTCATACTAGTACTGTCTACTCAGTCTGTTTCTCTCCTGATGGAAATACATTAGCTTCTGGTAGTAATGATAAGTCTATCCGTCTATGGGATGTCAAAACAGGATAATAAAAAGCCAAATTAGATGGTCATACTAGTACTGTCTACTCAGTCTGTTTCTCTCCTGATGGAAATACATTAGCTTCTGGTAGTAATGATAAGTCTATCCGTCTATGGGATGTCAAAACAGGATAATAAAAAGCCAAATTAGATGGTCATACTAGTACTGTCTACTCAGTCTGTTTCTCTCCTGATGGAAATACATTAGCTTCTGGTAGTAATGATAAGTCTATCCGTCTATGGGATGTCAAAACAGGATAATAAAAAGCCAAATTAGATGGTCATACTAGTACTGTCTACTCAGTCTGTTTCTCTCCTGATGGAAATACATTAGCTTCTGGTAGTAGTGATAAGTCTATCCGTCTATGGGATGTCAAAACAGGATAATAACAAGCCAAATTAGATGGTCATAGTGATAATGTTAAATCAGTCTGTTTCTCTCCTGATGGAAACACATTAGCTTCTGGTAGTTATGATAACTCTATCCGTCTATGGGATGTCAAAACAGGATAATAAAAATTCAAATTAGATGGTCATACTCATTATGTCTAGTCAGTCTGTTTCTCTCCTGATGGAAATACATTAGCTTCTGGTAGTAGTGATAACTCTATCCGATTATGGGATGTAAAGGCAGGATAAGAAATTAAATCCTCTGATAAAAACTACAAAGATATTCTTGCATAATTTAAGATTCCACTCTAATAAAATTATCCATTATAAGAAGGTAATATTAATTTTTTTTGAAATTTTAGCATCCAATTACATCACTACACTCCTAATATCTTAATCCGCTATTTTCTAAGCATAAGGAGCACTTGTTCTCAAAGGAGAATTCATTAATCATCAAGGCATTGATTTGAGACCTTTATTCAAATCCAAAGGTAGTTGCATTTTAGAAGACCTTAAGTAAAAGTGATAATTATTATTCATAAACAACATTACAACAATTATTATTTAAATTCATTCTTTATATTTTTTTATTTATATCTTTTTTTTGCTCTATTCTTTATTTTGATTTCTTGATATTCATACAAATTTTTCAAAAGTATTCTATTTTAAGGAAATGTAGGGATATTTATTGAGATCTCCTTAAAACAACTGATATTAATAATCATTTATAAAGATTTAATGTTAAATGATACTTCATTAATTTAATAATCTAATAAGAGAACAGTAAATGAAGAGTTTAAAATAAAGATTGAAATAATTACTTAAAGAAAACTAATTTTACACAAAATTCTTTTTAAATCATCTAGAAGATAATATGATAGATTTTCTAAATTTATTATTATTTAGAATAGGGATTGACATTAAAAATAATAAATGAATATTTTTAAGATTAAGTTGTAATTCATAAATAGTAAAAGATATATTTTATCAAAAAGATAATAACAAAGATATTTCAAGAATCAAAAATAAAGTTACCCATATTTGAAGGATTATATTAAAGTTTTTGAGATATATAGAAAATCTTACATAACACTACAATTAGGAATCCAAATATCTAATTACAATAGTAAGACATATTCCAATCTTAAAACATCTAGCTAAAAAATTAAAGATAACCAAGAAAAATCAATGAATTAATCTTAGAACTTAATTTTTTTCGTATAAATTAAAATATTCATATGAAATATTTATATTCTATATTATTAAAAAATCAAGTAATGCAGAATGAATCCTCGATCGCATAATTTACATCTATTACAATCAATTCCAAATCTACACAAAGTCCTAACTTCTATTTTACACTAATCCACAAGATATTTGTAGCGATTTTGCAGTATATAACTTCAAGTTAGAGTAATAGAAATTCATTATTAAAAATAAAAAAGAATATGCAAGCCCATTGTTAAGAGAAGGAAGCTCTAGCTGATATCTTTGGTCATATAAAAGATGTAGATGAGAAAATGTTTGGTGTCATATTAGAAAAATTAAGAAAGGAAAAAGTTTAAGACATCATTGGATATCTTTCAGAAAACGTGAATCAAAGGCAATTAGAATTATATATCTAACAACAAGCAGAGAAAATCGCTCAAGCTGATAAAGAATAGATATTGTCTGTTGTTAGAAATGATATCACATAAATCACAGATGTCTTAAGAAAATTAAAATATCATGACTTCAATAAGATAGACTATTCCTCTGAAGAAAATGAAGAATCCGCATAAAGTTTAATTAATAGTATCAAGGATAACAGATGGATCCTTGAATTTCTGTAATTTTTAGTTCACCTCACATCTATTGATGAAACTTTGATATAATGTGGGTCTAATTCTTTACATTTATTAGTTTAGATGAAGGTGAACCTTAGCATGAAAAATTTTGAAAATATTAAAATCATAAATACTTCTTTGGTGGGAGCTATCTTTGTTAGGTGTAATTTTAGTGGATCCTAATTGAATAATGTTAACATAAGTGGAATAAATCTAAATGGAGCATAATTAATTGATTGTAGATGGAAAGATTTAAGAATCCATGAATTAAATAAATTACATGGTCATACTAGGGCTATCACCTCAGTTTGTTTCTCTCCTAATGGAAATACATTAGCTTCTGGTAGTGGTGATAAGTCTATTCGTCTATGGGATGTCAAAACAGGATAATAAAAAGCCAAATTAGATGTTCATACTAGCACTATCACTTCAGTCTGTTTCTTTCCTAAGGGAAATACAATAGCTTCTGTATATAATAATGGCTCTGTCTTATTATGGGATATTAAAACAAGAAAGAAAAGAGCTAAATTGGAGGGTTATAGTGGCAAATTCTTCTCTGTTTTTTTCTCTCCTGATGGAAATACATTAGCTTTCGGTAGTGTTGATAAGTCTATCCTTCTTTGGGACGTCAACACAAGATAATAGAAAGCCAAATTAGAAGGTCATAGTGATTATGTCTACTCAGTCTGTTTCTCTCCTGATGGAAAATTATTAGCATCTGGTAGTGGTGATAAGTCTATCCGTCTATGGGATGTCGAAACAGGATAATAAAAACCAAATTAGAAGGTCATAGTGATTATGTCTAATTAGTCTGTTTCTCTCCTGATGGAAAAGTATTAGCTTCTGGTAGTGATGATAAGTCTATCCGTCTATGGGATGTCAAAACAGGATAATAAAAAACCAAATTAGATGGTCATACTAGAGAAATTATGTCAGTCTGTTTCTCTCCTGATGGAAATAAATTAGCTTCTGGTAGTGATGATAACTCTATCCGTGTATGGGATGTCAAAACAGGATAATAAAAAGCCAAATTAGATGGTCATTATTATTAAGTCAACTCAGTCTGTTTCTCTCCTGATGGAAATACATTGGCTTCTGGTAGTTATGATAAGTCTATCCGTCTATGGGATGTCAAAACAGGATAATAAAAAGCCAAATTAGATGGTCATACTAGTTGTATATTGTCAGTCTGTTTCTCTCCTGATGGAAATACATTAGCTTCTGGTAGTGATGATAAGTCTATCCGTCTATGGGATGTCAAAACAGGATAATAAAAAGCCAAATTAGATGGTCATACTAGTACTGTCTACTCAGTCTGTTTCTCTCCTGATGGAAATACATTAGCTTCTGGTAGTAATGATAAGTCTATCCGTCTATGGGATGTCAAAACAGGATAATAAAAAGCCAAATTAGATGGTCATACTAGTACTGTCTACTCAGTCTGTTTCTCTCCTGATGGAAATACATTAGCTTCTGGTAGTAATGATAAGTCTATCCGTCTATGGGATGTCAAAACAGGATAATAAAAAGCCAAATTAGATGGTCATACTAGTACTGTCTACTCAGTCTGTTTCTCTCCTGATGGAAATACATTAGCTTCTGGTAGTAATGATAAGTCTATCCGTCTATGGGATGTCAAAACAGGATAATAAAAAGCCAAATTAGATGGTCATACTAGTACTGTCTACTCAGTCTGTTTCTCTCCTGATGGAAATACATTAGCTTCTGGTAGTAATGATAAGTCTATCCGTCTATGGGATGTCAAAACAGGATAATAAAAAGCCAAATTAGATGGTCATACTAGTACTGTCTACTCAGTCTGTTTCTCTCCTGATGGAAATACATTAGCTTCTGGTAGTAATGATAAGTCTATCCGTCTATGGGATGTCAAAACAGGATAATAAAAAGCCAAATTAGATGGTCATACTAGTACTGTCTACTCAGTCTGTTTCTCTCCTGATGGAAATACATTAGCTTCTGGTAGTAATGATAAGTCTATCCGTCTATGGGATGTCAAAACAGGATAATAAAAAGCCAAATTAGATGGTCATACTAGTACTGTCTACTCAGTCTGTTTCTCTCCTGATGGAAATACATTAGCTTCTGGTAGTAATGATAAGTCTATCCGTCTATGGGATGTCAAAACAGGATAATAAAAAGCCAAATTAGATGGTCATACTAGTACTGTCTACTCAGTCTGTTTCTCTCCTGATGGAAATACATTAGCTTCTGGTAGTAATGATAAGTCTATCCGTCTATGGGATGTCAAAACAGGATAATAAAAAGCCAAATTAGATGGTCATACTAGTACTGTCTACTCAGTCTGTTTCTCTCCTGATGGAAATACATTAGCTTCTGGTAGTAATGATAAGTCTATCCGTCTATGGGATGTCAAAACAGGATAATAAAAAGCCAAATTAGATGGTCATACTAGTACTGTCTACTCAGTCTGTTTCTCTCCTGATGGAAATACATTAGCTTCTGGTAGTAATGATAAGTCTATCCGTCTATGGGATGTCAAAACAGGATAATAAAAAGCCAAATTAGATGGTCATAGTAATGATGTCTAGTCAGTCTGTTTCTCTCCTGATGGAAATATATTAGCTTCTGGTAGTAGTGATAACTCTATCCGCCTATGGGATGTAAAGACAGGATAAGAAATTAAATCCTCTGATAAAAACTCCAAAGATATTCTTGCATAATTTAAGATTCCACTCTAATAAAATAGTCCATTATAAGAAGGTAATATTAATTATTTTGATATTTAAAGCCTCCAATTACATCACTACACTCCTTATATCCAAATAGGCTATTTTTTAAGCATAAGAAGCACTAATTTTGAGAGGAGAGTTTATCAATCAATCAGGTATAGACTTAAAGACATTCTTTAAGCAAAATGGTAGCTGTATTTGGTAAAACCAATTAGACTGTAATAAAAAATGAAAATGATTTAATAAGTTAGCATAATTTATATCTATATCAACTTTAGTCAATATTTTTTCACAATTATTTTTTATCCTCTTTAAATGGTCAAGTTAACTTTTTCTGCTCAATCTATTTTCATCATTACTTAATATTCTCTATTAAGATAATAGTAAAATTGTAATCATGTCCTATTATTAATTATAAATTTTAAAATTATTAATTTGTAAATACTAAATTTGTAATTATTAAGCTTAAAATGGGTATTTTTTCAAAAATATATTTCTTTTACTCTCAGTTTTACATTCTTATTACTTTATAATTAATTAAACATAAAACAATCTTTCAAGAGAATAAATTAAAAATGATTATTCATATAAAATTAGATTATATTAAATAATCTATAAATATTTT